TTACTCACAGCACAGAACTCTGAGTAGTCAGGTTTGTGGGGCATGATGAATGCTATGGCCTGAAGCGGACCCTCACAGTTAACAGGACTGAAGCTTGAGTTGCGACAGCTGGTCATGATCAAGAAGAAATGCGTTGGCACTGCAGTTTCATTCCTGGAGAGAGAGAGAGAGAAAGGTTTGTGGGGTTTTAACAAAAAACTGCTGGAACAAAAAGTGTTTCCTGTGAAGAAGAAGATTTTCTTTAACTCTTCTGATTTCCACCTTTGCGATGACACAAATCTGTCCCCCCCCACTCACTATTTGTCAAAAATAGTCCTGGATTTCCACACCAGGGGCACTACCACAAGATAACTGCCAGGGGATGTGAGGAAACGCTGTCAGTATTTCCTGGTTAAATCATAAATTAAACAGAAAAAAACCTCGCAGGAAACGGGGGAAAGATTAGAAGAACATAATCAGTATTGATGTATTGCGTTCTTCTCCAAAGCTCAGCGCGTGTGGTTTGACACCACACTGTCAACTGGTTTTGATTTACATGTTGCACAATCTTTGTTTAGCAACATTGTAATTGCCCTGGGTATTTTATAAAACATGCACAACCACATCTTTGATTTATGTGAAAATGCTTCCTCGCTCAGAAATGGAGGAATTACATTTAAATAGCTCACAAGTGTTGGCTAAGTGTGAAACCTTTGGTCTGATCTTAACCAATAAATGTGTCGAACGTCTTCTTGCTTGATTTTGAGGTGAGTTGCTTAGCTTTCATTTTCTCCTGAAGTGTTTTCCTCTAAGGAATTTACACGATTGGAAAGAAAATCGGAGCAGAGTCAAAGCAATGCTCAATCCAGTGAAACATTTCAGATTTTTTAAATTTGGGAATGATTTTTTTATTATTACTGTTACTGTTACATGCAACAGAGACATTTTTTCACATTTCAGACATATCTCGTCGCCTGTCATGCTATATACATGGTTTGATGAATGTTCTGCTAAAGTTCATCTCGTTTTTTTGTTGCTGGTCATTTAGTTTAGTTTTAGTTTTTTGCCGACTTCTATCCCACTTTATCAGTCTCTCTTTCTCATTGTTGAAGCAAAAACACTGACCTTAGCTGAGGACAGTGAGGATTTTTGTTCAATTATTTGTTTTGTAATTGCAAAGAGAATGCTTTACAACCATTTTCAGACTGACAGATATCAACTTTGCTGCTCGTCTTTTCTTGACTGTCTTTAAGTTTTCGAAACTTTTTAACTTTCTTCATGTTGTCAGACAGAGATGGTATGAAAATGACTAGTAGTAACAAAACTGATCGAGTCCGAGTCAGGGACCCATTCACGATGAAGATGAAAGAAAGAAACGCACAAAAAAATAAATAAATAAATAAAAAAAGTTGATGAATATCCAAACTAATACACTACTTGATTGAACAGCCCTGTTTTTAAAGTGATAATGACATCTCTTTATGAATATTAAGTTAAATTTGTGCATCTAGTCATTTTTTAACAAATAGAAAATGGGAACAATTTAAAAAAAAAACATCGACTTTTTCAGAAACATTTATTAAACAGAATATCACACAACAACAACAACAACAATCACTAAAGCTGTGGTATAGTTGTAGACAACTTACCCTGTGTTTTTACTGACTGGATCTACATTTCCATCAAAGTCTTTATCAAATATCGGCCCACTGACGACATTGACTCCGTTCAGGTCTTGAGAATATTTCAAAAGTATAGAAGTGTGGAAATGGCTCCAAACCTCTGGAAAACATAAATATGCAGTTTAATACATGTAATCCTGCAATTTGTACAAACAAACAACATTAAAATTTGAGTTATCAGCGTAACTGTGTATCAGGAACAGTGAGCCACTAGGGGGCAGCACCTGTTAGTATTTTATAGGGATTCAGAAACTAAAATTTTCTTTCATTTATTGTTTATTTCCTGGCAAAACTCAGAGGGATTTAATTTATCAGAACTTAGCTAACAACAGCAGTAACCAGATTGTATATATCCAATTTATAAGGTGCATGTTCCAGTTAAAACAAAATGAATTAATGATGTTGATTCATAATATTATGTTACTATAACAAAACTTTGTTTTGCTGCTGGCACTGAGTCAAAAATCCAGATATTTCCTCAGTTTGGGACTTGATGAATAGATTTACAGCTACGTTTTGTTCAAGCTTGCACAAAGCAGGTTTTCTACGTGCCGGTGGTCTGACAGCCATGAACACGAAGTTGCATCACAGATTTCTGTGCTTTGTTCAGCCAGTTTAACTACCTGTCCCTGGAGATCACAATTTTTAGTTTTGAAATGACTGCATTAATAATGTAATAACTCTAATCGCAAATTGGAAACACACACGTTTGACAAATACTTCCATAAATACTCACCTTTAAATGCAGGGAACATTGGGGCCATGTTACTGCTGATAAAAGAGTCAGACACTGAACCAGTGATATTCAGATCTGTAAAAATAATGACAGGTGAAGCAACAGGTATGGGACTTTTGATTTTATAGTCAAGGATTTCGAAACTGAAGCAAAAGATGTCACTTTATGATGACTTGCAAAATCTAAAAATGCTTATAATGTGAAATGCTTCACCTATTTTCCTGCAAAAAATCAGTGTCAAATCTCACTTTGTAACATGATGACAGGAATGAAAACATTTAATTTGTGGTCATCCAGGTGTCTCACTTCTGCTGATGTGCGTTAATTTCCCTGTTTCCCTTCATCTGCTGAAGCTTCGTGGAAGCAAACCTTTCTAGAGCATTGTATTAGTTTTTAAACCCCTTGAACTTTCTGACATTTCTTCCTCCTGCAGCAACAAAATTCTATACATGATATTAATACTTTACATGAAGCAAAGCGGGAGAAATGTGAAACCAAAACAAATCAGATCAATGCAAAAAGCGGCATCCACTGAACTGACGGGATCTCAGAAAAGGCTAACAAGAGACTCTTCTCTTCTACATGCTTGAAAAGTGAATTCATTTCGGCACAGGTTGTGCCACTTTCTGCATGACATGCACAGGCATTTACACACACTCACAGGGCGGGTGCAGCAGGCCATAGGTCAGAGCGGCCTCATCTCTGTAGAGGAGACACAGCTGGTTGGAGGAAGACGGGACTCGAAAGTCGGCTCGAATGCACTCATATGGGCTCAGGGTTGGCACTCTGGACTGAGAGAGGGGATCAGTCAGCGGTGGACAGTGTGGACGGGACAACAGGACATGTCTCTTATGGAAGATCGCTTGGCTGGATTTAGAGATGAACAGATCAACGAGGAAATATCTCTCTTTCGGTTCTCTTTTCAACTTGAAAGTCTTATGAGAACGAAAATGATGTCTAAATCTTTAATTTGAACGTCTTAGTTATTGATAACATTTCATTATGAAACACATTATCGACAGGAAGTAAAAAAAATAAAAAACAGTGCTGTTGACTAATGAAATAAATGGCCCTTCAAGTTAGATTCTCTCAGAAGATGACTAAAATATAACTAATTCTTTTTCAAAGGTAAATATTAAAATATAAAGTGAATTTTATCCCGAAACACAAGTTTGTGTCTTTTGTAACTAACCGTTTAACTTTATTGTTGCCAGGATTCTTTTCTAAAATAAATCTTTGATCTAAAGGAGTTTTATCCTGGTTAATCAATGACTGAAGAAGAAGAAGAAGAAGAAGAAGAAGAAGAAGAAGAAGAAGAAGAAGAAGAAGAAGAAGAAGAAGAAGAAGAAGAAGAAGAAGAAGATGATGAAGAAAAAGAAGAATGAATTTAACTAGCCTGAATGTGGATTGAAGTGAAACCTGTTAACTTCAGGTCATAAACATTAATTTAGACTCCTCCTCCTCCTCGCATCGTCTCAGTCTCAAACCTTTATTCACAGTACGAACCGTAGCAAACGATGATTGATAGGAGTTAGAAGTTCCTGCTGGCTCAGGCTGACAGTTTTAATTTAAACCTGGTGGACTCTTGGAAATCCTATTAAAATAGGAGTAGGGGGCTGATCCAGCCTGCCAAGTTACGCTGATTATTTCTGTGGAGTATTTTATTTCTCCAAGAAATTAAATTAGGCCAAGATTGATTTTGCTCTTGGAATCGTAGTCTTGACTATAGATGTAATCTATTTTATTGTCTTTTTTTTTTTTTAACTAACAATGAATGCAGATAATGTACTGTAGCAGGCTATATTTTGCTCATACTGTATTTGGAAAGCACATCCACTTGCTCAATCATTCAGACAGAGGAATCCAAAATCTCTTGGAAACAAACAGCTGCGCCTGAGGTTGTGAATTACAAGAAAGCTCCACCACAAAGGGAAGAAAGACAAGAGCTGTTTGAGCCAGCACGGATAGAGAGGATGAGCAGCAGCTGTTTACAGAAAGGATTCAGATGCCGTACAAACCTCCTCCAATCCGCTGCCAAACCAAAACCACAGAAGAAATACAGCCGAGGCAGCCCTGACTGATGGGGCTAAGTTTAGAGATGAAAGAGAGCTCACCAGAGGCTGGAGGGTGTACGACACCCACAGCGGCATGAGGCGGTCCCGGCTGTATCCACTCAGGTAGTCGGCGTGGTGCAGCAGACAAAAGCTGTTCCCCGCCTGGATGACGCTGGGGATGCCGAAAGGATGATGAAGGCGGCGCAACTTAGCTTTGGCCTCTAAGGAGGAAATTTAAAGTGTGAGGCAAAAATATTTCCCAGTGCTATTTTAAAAGGGGCAGTATTATGGGTTTTCCAGGAATATAGTTCGGTTTTATAGTGCAATAAAGTAACTATGTTAACTTCAGTTGTTGTAAAAGTACCACATCTATCACATATGACTTAAAGTATATTTCAACCCTAATTTCACGCCTCTGTCTCTTTAAAAGCTCCTGCTCGTTCCGAAACCCCGCCTTCAGGAAGTCATCACAACGTCGCTCCTGTATGAACCCTTTAAAAATGTTTTTACCATCTTTGCCCTGAGAAGCAGATCGTACAATGAGCTCAATTCAGGTGTTTGCTAATTGCTGGTGACTAGTCTGAAGAAACCACGTGGGGGAGTCATGGTGGAGGGGCGAGGAGGAGCTGCGCTCTTGGAGGTGGAGCTAGGTCCGCCCCGGCTTTTTGCAGAGCTGAATGGTTGCCACGGGAGATTAAACGATTTCTCAAACGTGCATGAAAGAATCAAAGCAACACTCCATGTATGTTTTCAATGAGGGAAGAACATTTGATGTAAAGTTAAAAACATAGATTCTTTGAAATAAAATATATATATATATGTATATAATTACCTGAGTTTGTTGATAAAATAATTCTGTTCATTTCTGTCTCCTGCAAAGAAAGCCACAGTTTGTTTCAGATTAAATTAGGCTTGTACATACATTTCAAGACAGCTGACGTATCAGGACCGGTAAAGAGGACAGATTTTTTGATCCGATGTGGCCAAAAAAAAAAAAAGTTTCATACCTTCTCAGTGCTCTGAGAGGAACAGAGGCAGTGCAGGTTGTCTGTGGGAACCAGGTTGGTGCTCTCACAGGGAGTTTCATGGGAGAGCTGCGCTGGGTGAACGGGTTGATAATGGGGACGCTTCAGGAGATGATTCAGGCTGCCATGGGTCCCATTGTTTGGGGATGGACGAATACCAAGAAGGTCTGATGTGGGAAAGGAAAAAAAAACAAACAAGAAAAACATTATTCAGGATTTATAACTCGTACAAATTGAGGTAAAGAATGTTTATCTGAGAGAAAAATAACCTGCAAAAGCATTTCTGCTCTTGTTTCTAATTTAATTCAGACACATTTTAGGGTTTCGAAGTATGCACAACCAGTTCAAAGTCATGCCACAACTCTAGAGTTGCACCAGCCCACATAAAACCTTTGTTTTGATTTTTTTGGAATTTATTTTTAAGCCGTTCGAAGGAGGACTTGGCTCTCATTTTTGCCCAATCTCGTCCTTATTGTTGAATCATGACCGTAAGGTAACAAAAGCCTGCAGCGCTTTAGCTGTTGCATTGTTCTTTTAAGTTCATGCTGTGCTTGAGCTTTCTGATTTCTTTTGAAGGCTAGCCCCTCTTGGGAAGGTTTATTACCGTTTCATGTTTTCATGGTTGCCTCACTTAGATTCAGTGGGAGTTTCAGGACATTAGAAACCGCTTTGAACCCCCTTCCAGACTGAATGTTGATGAATTAGTTTCTCATCTATTGTTGAATTTATTGCGTGTTGCATGTTGAGATCTGTTGTCCACCTCGTCTAACCAGACAGATTCTGAAAAAGTGATGTCATTTGTGATTAATAACAGTTCACTATTAATAAATTGGGATTACAGACTCTGGTCAAGTCTTATTCACCATTTGAAAACTGCATTTTGCATGTAGTCAGGTTATCTTTGTCTGAGTTTGATGATCTAAAACATGCAAGTGGAAGTAAAAAAAAAGATAAAACTGGTATAATCTGTAAAGAAGGCAAACATTTTCTGGTTTGATCTGCCACATAAAAATCAAATACAATTTCTCAACATTTGTTCTAAACATTTGGAACTAGCTGGGTTGACACTGGTTGCTTCTCACATTTTTCTATTTTGCTCTTCAAATAATCTTATTAAATAACCACAATATTTCTACAATATCCACTTCTTCTGACATGGATATGTTAAAATCGAGGTTTGGTTTGTGGGATCTATTGACATATTTAGGAAGCAGAGCAGCTACTGAAAGCTGAAGAAATGCACCTGTTTCCTGTACTGACAGTTACGGGGATGCTGTCGCAACTGAGGCGAACAGCAGCGTTCCCAAACGCGGGAGGAAAATAAGAACAAACCAAACAACAATGTGAGCAGATAGTCAACATCTATATGTTGCAAACAGACTACCTCTGTTTTTGAGATTAAAGCTTCTGAAAAAAAAAAAGTAGCAAAACTGATTAAAAGCTGAACAGGAGAGAGACGTTCTTTTTTAAGGCCTGTCAGGTTAAAATTTGACAGAGCAGCGTTCTGTTTAGGATATTAGTCACTAACTGTAAACGTCCATTCAGCAGGCGTGACTGAACATTAACTCTGTCAAAAGACATGCTCAAAGTGAATAAGGTTATTTGTTAACAGCCAAGAACATGTTTAGCAAAGTCCTGAAATTGCAAATAGTTTCTATTAAAGGGGCGCTATTATGTATTTTCCAGGCACATAGTGCCACTTTATAGCGCAATTACGATACATTCAGTTTGTATAAACTTTGTAATGTATCGTCTTGAAACTGATCTCTGACTCTTTCTGACACTCCACATTCAGCATGTCATCAGAACAGTGCTTTTCAGGGTTTCCCCCAGTGTATTACAAGCCTGGCGAGCCACCAGGCTTTACTTGTGCCCCCTCCAGGCTTAACATTGCTTATTTATTTACGTTTTTTTTCTTTTTTTTTAAATGTTTGCATTTTTAAAGATTTTGTAGTTGGCGTTAGGGTATTAATCTTCCAATATTCCACTACTACATAATTATCAAGTGATATTTTCAAATTTCCTGTCAACTTTATATATTTTTTAACTCAAAAACACGGCGGGCCGCTGGATGAAAGACTGCCAGGCGCCCTAACCACCAGGCTTATCAAGTTTTCTGAGAACCTTGCTTCTCATTATGTTGTTTACAATTGTACGATAAATTCAGCAGATATGCAGTTCCACCAGTTGTTTGCTAATTGCTGCTATTGTTAGTAGCTGTTAGTAACATTGGCATAGTTTTGGTGTGATTGTTCTAAACAAACTGCTGAAGTTTGTGTAAAATTTGCATGACTATTATTTGTTTTATAATTTTGTTTGCGCTAAATTAGCTTTTGTTAGCTTCGTCTGTTTCCGCTGGTAATGTTCTTGACCAGAACTGTCTTGCAAAAGAGATTTTTATTTTCAGAATAAAATCTGATATTCTCCAATGGAGTTTGACTTGAGTCTGTCACATCAACTTTCATTACTAAAACGCGAGCTTCATTTTTTCTATTTTATCACAACAGTTCACCAAAACGTCAAGAAACTGAAATGATTTACAGCAAGAAGAGAAAAAACAATAACTCAAACAGCCACTTACCACACATGAGGTTATATAATTCAATGTTTTCAAATGTTGGCCCGACGTATTTAGTTTTAAATCCAGGACCGTATCCAATGAAGATTGCCTAGAAGAAAAAAAAGAAACATAAAGCATCTTCATTCGTTTCTTTTCACACATATGATGAAGTAAACTAAGCTAAGCTTTTAAGCAACAACGCCTACCAGTTTGTGTACTGGAAAACGTTATTCAGTCCCTCTGTTAACATCAAGACGTCAAACATCTGATTCACTTATTTAGTTCATTGGTAAATATTTAAAGAGAAGTCAAGCTCTGAATTGACCTAAACCCAAACAGTTTTCTATACTGAATTTCCACTTGGTGGGACAATAAAGGCTGTTTTTATTCTATTCTACACGAAAGGAGAGGAAGAAATAATTTTGGTTCTTACTAAATAAGTAACCAACTAAGTGCTCTAAGTCAAATTACAGCATGTGACAAATTAATCTAGACAATTAAAATAAACTGTGATGACTAAGATTAATTACAGTGGTATTAAGTTGAAATCTTTCTGCATTTAGGTTGAGAGAAACTTCTCAAACTATTGCGCAATTATTGCAATTTGCTTAATTCTTGGATAATCTCAGTTCTTCGCACTACTTAAGGGCTCTGTAGAGGTTTGCCCAAATATGTCCTCTCCTGTCTGTTGGTTTGTGGGTTTCTGCAAAAGAACCAGAGGTGGTTCAAGATCTCATTTTATTGTTTTCAAACAGTAACACAAAAATGAAAGAATGTTGAACTACTAAATATAACAATTACTTGTTTTTAAAGTCCCTCTACTTCTTCACAGAAGCTTTTTATTCCTTCAAGTCTCAAATACCCAGAGAGGTTAATATTCTGATTATAGAAAACCTTTTGTTTCCTCATATATCAACAGCTAAATATAAGAAGTTCCTGTTTTCTTAAGAATAAAAACGTCATGATGCAAAATGTCTTGACCCTGGCAAGCACACACATCCTTCCTTCCTCTGACCTGCATGTTGGTGAAGAGATTGTCTGAGCCATGGAAACCACCGGTGCAATACTTGACATCGTCTTTTTTACTGAGGAGAAAGCATTTGAACAGGAAAAGCAAAATTAGAGGAAATAGTAAAGTATATTAAACATCTTCCACTGCACAGTTTCTTGACTCTGTCAAGTCAGTAGCTTTATTTGTCCAGCTTGAAGCAATTTGCCACAATTACAGGGTTGGTGCAAATCAAAGGATTTGTGCTATTTCTTCCCAACATGCTTCATTCATCACACATGGTTCCTGTCATTAGTTACTGTAAAAGATTTATGACTGCAGTTTATCCATCATATGACGTGTCACATTTAGAAAAAAATTACAGGCTTTTCATTACAAAAACAAAAAAAGTGCTCTGATGTAAACCTTTTGGAATATTATATAAGAAGAAAAAACTTTCTAAGCACAAGTTATAAGAAGTAATAGATAAAAGTTATCTGTTTTGTATCAGAAAAATGTACTTTCTGAACACAAAGTAAGCGTTGGCTATTTGAACTACCAGTTCAAGCATCACAATAACAAATTTTGCTGGACGATAAAGTGTAATAGAAGTTATTGCGATAAACGATAATGTTGTTTTCAGACCATTTCTAAGTAAAATAACGGTAAAGGCAAAACAATAATACAAGAACACATTCTCAAAGATCAATAAACTTTAAATTCTAATGAACAGTTAACACTGGAACTCGAAGACATATTAAATATCCAAAATAAATAAACAAAACAACAAATAAAATTATTTTTGAAACTTTGTAAACAAAATTTTCCTTAAAAAAGCGCTAGTTGAGACGAAAGCACTAAACTGAAGACTTTTATCATCCAGTTTTAGTAGAAAGAGAGAAAAAAGAGAAACGATAAATCATGCTGATGGAAATGATTGAGTTTGTTTTAATTCATCATCTGATTTATTGATTATTGTGACAGATGTGGGGACTGTAAATCCTTTTGACCTCATACCATCCAAAAAACGTATGTCATAAACTAATGTTAGAGAGATAACATAAACTACTACTTTATTTACCAGTTTCTATGTTTTCATCTTTCATTTATGAAGATGAAAATAACACAAAATATATATAACTGCAATAATCAAGATGTCAGTAGCATAAAGGGTTGTTGCTCAAAAGTTATTAGATCATTTTCTATAAAATGAAAATCATTATTTTGTGAGCGAGGAATGGCTTTTATTTTTTTCCTCTATCTTTCTGCTCCAGCGACATTTTCCTGGTTTTGCCGTGTTTTGTCACATATTTACAGAAATACTTATAATCGCAAATCGTGGTATTTATCATTTCTAAATCGTCCCAAAATCAAAATCCCCTCATAGCATAAAAAAATAAAAAATACCCAAACTAGACAAACTTTGTTGCTTAACTAAACCATATTATTAGACTGGAGCAGATATTAGCAACTAATGTCGTCCAGTTTATGCAAACTGCTGTGCGAAAGGAGATGATGATCTGATTACTTACAGCGCTGCCTGCCAGCCCTCCTTCATGTACAGGTGACCCCTCTCTATGCGCTTGTTGTATGCAAAGTGCATCCTTTTGGGGAGGTTTTCTTTGAGGTACGGCTTCATTGGCTGGTCAGGGGCCCTGCACTTCAGAATGCACACAGACGGAGAGGATCAACACACAGCAGAGAGACGACGGGACTGTTTGTCATGAAGCCACACAAGCACATGATTTTTCATTCTTCCTATCAACACAAAAAGTCACGCTTGGAATACTTGGCATACCGACAGGTTCTTTATCAGGCCCTCATAGTCGACTGCGGAAATGAACAGTAAGGGAAAGTCAGGCTCTCTGATTTCAAGCAGACTAAGACCAAAAGATTGTTAAATCTGAGCGGACAGGAACTCACAGGAGAAGTAGTCCTGTGGGAGGCGCTTCGGTCGGATGCGAGCTGCTGGGCCCTGGATGACCGTGAAGTTGGATGTGTCTTGCTGGTATGTCGACACATAAGCTGCCCTTTGACAGGAAGCCTCCTCCATTCCTATTGAAGTAACGACTTTGTATAAATGTCGGCCACCAAAATACTTTTCAGAGAGATAAATAATAATAGATTACAAGTGTATTATTGTTCCTTTAACTACTGGTATTGCAATGGTGCGATTACAAGGTCTCCAATCTGCAGCTGTAAAGTCTTAATAACTTTGGCAAAAACGTAATAAAGAACCTGCATATAATTGCAGGTTTTAGCTGCAATTATATATATATATATATATATATATATATATATATATATATATATATATATATATATATATATATATATATATGGATATATATCCATATATCCATATATATATGGATATATATTTTTCAAAATATATCCATAAAATAATTAACATGTTTATCATTAGGTTGGTAACTAAGTATGTTTTTAGAAGCAAAATCAGCTTTATGGGCCAAGATTGTGTTCACAAGAAATATTATTCTGATATTAGGTATACATATATAAACTTTCACGAATACAAAAGTTTTTTTATATGTATAGAATTTTCCACAAATATCAACATTCCATAGGAAAAAAATCTGTTAATTGTATTGCAAAAATGTTACATCCTTCTTTATTTTAAAACGTGAAAATAGAAATTAAGGATGTTTTCTTATACAAACACAAAAAAGTACATTTGTACATTTGTTACAGGATGTTTTGTCAAATTGATAAAGAAACAAACTGACCTTAGTGGACGGATGAAAATAACACAGCAACATTGTTGTGTTTTACTTTTTACAGTTTCAAATTCTGCCTGTCATGGGATGTGACGAAACACTCATGTTCACAATTACTGAAAGTAACCTCAGTTTAAAAACTGTTTAAAATTTTAACTAAATCATTTTGTCTGTATACAGAGTAAAACTTTTACACAGTGTACATTACCTCTGCTCATGATGTAAATAATTAATGAGCACTCGTGGCAGGAAGTTGAGAAAAAGTCTGTCATCATATTTATCTAAGAGACAATGTATGTCAGCAGGTTAAAACTTTTCAAAAACAAAAACTCAGAAATCGGCCACAAATTTCTAGATATTTAAAGCAGATATTTAAAACAATTTATAAAAATCTATAAATTATTATTTATAATTATACTCATATTTAACTACAGCAAATTAGATGCTGACTTGATTTAAAGATCTTTACAGATCCTCACATAAACAATCACTTTAAGGCTTTCAGAAGTGATGTGGAAGCTCATAGTATCAGCTCAACATCTGTCAACAGTATTTTGGGTGGGACATGAGAACCCTGCTGCGTGCATCTTGTTTTCTGTGTTTCATGACAAACTGCAAACTAATAACTACTACCATGCACTCAAGTTGGTGTCTTTTCTTGGAAGAAAACTCTTTGATGGGAATCGCTGGGCATCGCCCTGGCCACGCGCTCATAGAAACATTGATCTGTGCTGTGTAATTACAGGGCTAGACATATGGTCTCCAGATACTCATAGAAATGCTTCCCTCAAAAATATCCTCCTTGTGTGATTGGGATAACTGATTTTTCATCCTGTAGTCGGTGGAATCTCTTCTCAGTCATGCAACTCATGTATTTTCTGTCTTTATTGGACTCATGGGTCTGTATGTTTTATTCTAATTATATTTCTCTAAGTTCTGTCTTTTGAACAGAACAACAACCTCACCGTGGTCAGATACGATCATTAAGTTGACACACTGGTGAAGATCTCTTGTAAAAAGTCCATCCATGAGATCGCCCAGAATCGAGTCAACCTTCTCCAAAGCAGCGATCACCTGAAGGAACAACAGAAGGCTGTAAGCGCTTTGGTTCAATACAATGGCAACTAGAACAAGCCTAAGGCAGTAACTGTTTTAACTCACCTGTGAACTTTTTGGGCCGTAAGCATGTCCTGTGCTGTCCGGTTCTTCCAGGTACAAGGTGTAAAAGTCAGGTCTAAAAGCAGAAACACAATATTGAAACAGGATTTGTGCTTTTCCATGAGAGTTTTAGTGGTTAACATAGAATAAGCAGCACCTTTCCTTCTCAGGTAAACTCAGCCACTCGAACACCGTTTCCAGTCTGTTCTCAAACTTAATGTTCCTGCACACAAAAAGTTTGTAAAGGCGCCATTACAAAAACATCTTATACACTGGAAGTTAACATAAGGACATATTTAATACCATAAGGTTCAGCCTTACTTATCATACATCCTGTAGAGAGTTGGGAATGATCCATTAATAGCAACATCAGAACCTGGCCAGAAGAAAGTGCCTGCTTTTAGTTTCTGACGCATTGCGGTGAGCCACACCTGAATAAGAAAAACAAAGGAAAAAGAAAATAGTGCAGTGTTTTTGATGATGGCAGAGAAAATGGACACAAACAAGAGACATGGGATCTTTTTTTGAGTCATTTAGAAGAAGTTTTATCTCTCCATTCTTTGAAAAATCAGTTCCAATCTGTGGGTAGGACGGCTCTACTGACACATTAATGCTCTAAACATATTTTGACACACACGATTTGTAGTACTGGTTTGGTAGTCTTTACTGAAAGACACAGCTACGCAGGGCGATCATTATTCTCCTTTTGCAAAGTCATGCAGCTGCTGCACAAAAGACAGTGAAGTGAAGCAGCTCGTCACACAAAAGAGGATTGAGATCAAGTTTAAGTAAGAGCCACAAAGTGCTTAAGTAAGCACAACTATCACAAGCCAACACTTACAACGAGCTGAATCTAAAATTTCAACAGGAACGTTGCAATGGGGAGGGCAAATTACAGCATGATGAATACTCAGACTTACGCAAGGCGGGATATTCTTTTTTTATGAATCACAGCAGATTTTGAATAAGACCAGGGTTGGTAAACCATGAGCAACTCGGAGACATTCAGATATTACAGTAAAATTCAGTATTGCTCAAATCTGCTTTGTGATCTTGTATCTTGATAAGGCCACACTTTAATTCCTGAAAGAACTACAGGATTGAAATTCTACCTTTGTACACAGACACTCACCGGTTCGCCCTGGTACCAGTTTGAGTTGAATTTCTCATCTGTTTTCAAGGTGAAAAAGGCGTTTCGGGTCACATCATACATCTTGTTGTCTACGATCCCATGAGACTCGGGATAAAGACCCTGCAGGAGACGGAGATCAAATAAAAACACAGGCACACTGAGCTGTTTTGATACAGTAGCTGCAGGGTTTAACTCCTGTTTTTCTGAAAATAAAAAGCTCCAGACATGATTAAGGCCTTTGCGATTCTATAAAGCTCCTTAAAATGTGTTTTTAATCCCCCTAAAATGCATTTCATGCTCATATTTGTGCCTCCTGTATTCTGCATTGTATTTTCTGGGCGTCACATCTTGGCAGACTGTATTACTGGAAATACTAAAGAGTTTACTTTAATGGTGGGGTCTGTTTTTGAAAAACAGAGGTGGAATCCATCTTAAAAAGCTATTTTTTTCCATGCACATGTAAGCTATTAGGCCTCAATAGAGCAATGACTTTCTAACGCTGCGGGAAGAGAAAACCTTGAAGCACACATGAAGAAAGAAACTAACAGCAGTGGTGAAAAACATTTAAAACATTTAAAGTTATGTCCTTTAGATCCAAAACTACAGCAAGTCCAACTCATCAAATACTAGCTTTAAACTTTAAAATATGTAACTTATTGGGTTTAAACTGCATTTATTTGAGATTCTGGTAAAAACGCAGTTGTGAGCCATCTCTTTTAGACTTTGGACACATAAAATGACAGATTTCTAAAGATTAAACCAGATGTTCTTTCCTTTCTGAACCCATTATTCATTGTTAGGAACACTTGTTGTGTCTCAGATTAAAACATGTCGTCAATAGAAACGTGAAAGCATGCACTCATTGACGAGGCAGGTTGAATAAAAATTATATCATGATAAATCATTTCAGAAGTTATCCCACTTTAGGAAAAGTGCTACATATAAAAAAAGGCTGCAGTAAGCTGGTACAATTAGTCTGCATGTTTTGATTTAATTACAGCATTCAGTCTTCTTTGGTAGGAGTTTATGAGCAACCCTCCAACAACTTGTTTTAGCAAAGCTGTAGCACATATTCTGCTATCAAAATGCTATTTTTGTAATCTCCTGAATGATACCTTTGAAAAAAGAGACAATTTTGATTCTTAGTTCCCTCTTTGTAACTTCAGGCTTCAGCTAAATGATACAAAAGGAAACTTTTGTTTCACATTAATCAGATTAAATGTAATTGTTGTCCTGGACATGTTGCTTTCAAGATCTAAAAAAACTTTTTAAATGTAATAATATTTTAACAAAGTGTTACATTATTTGAATGAATACATAAAGTAATGATGAGTAAATTAAACTCATGACAAACTGAAACATTTACAGCACATGTGTCAAACTCGAGGCCTGAGGGCCGAATCTGGCCCGCTATAACTTTTTATGTGGCCATCTAGAAATTACATCAATAAATCCCTCCAGTTTTTCACAAATCTGCAAAATTCATACAAAATTCTCACAAAGTCAACAGATCTCCACATTTTTTTTCCTGATTTTCCTGCAAAATTTTCTCAAAATTGGCCAAAAACATTGAGTTTAAGTTATAATCGTTGACCAATATGGCAAATACTTACACTTAACATCATACATTAGCACAAATATCATAAAAAGTCCTAACAAATATTTTTTAATTAGCACCACAAAATCTGGGATTTTGATTGCAAAAAAAAAAAAATCACAAAATCCTGAGCGATATGAAAAGATATCCAATGTTATTTAATTTTAAGAAATGCCTATTGAATGCCGAAACAAACAACTATTTATTGATATTTTAACAATTTAATGGGTTTTATCAATACATTCTGGCACATCCGGCCCTTTAAGAACATTCAGATTTTTTTATATAGCCCAAAATGAAAATGAGTCTGACGCCGCTGGCTTACAGTAACGATGGTGTAGTGGTTGGGGAAAGTCTTTGTGGGATAAACAGGCCTCATGTAAGATGTTGTTGTTCCATCCTTTCCTGCAGAACAAAAACTGCTTGTAACACCAACAGGAAAATCTTGGCGAGTTGAGGCGGCGACCGCTTTTTTGACTTACGCAGCTTGTTGATGACGGGCAGCCGACTATGGTGATCTTTCAGGTACTCTGCTCGGAAACCGTCCAAGGACACGAGGAGAAGAGGAGGCCTGGAAAAACTGGGCAAAGGAAAAACCTCACTTATTTAATTTGCTTGTCTTGCGTCCATGTATATTTAGCAGGAAATGGTATGAGGAAATAGGTGTGGAAATCTCACAGGACCGCCTGTTTATTATAAGCAGCTATTTCTCGATGCTAAGCTGCAAGATAAGTGATAAAAAAAACAACGGTGTGAAAATAGGAGCTGAACCTGACCCATAGTTGGAAACATGTTTTGACAACCTGCACATTCAGCTTGCATTCCTCTTTTGCAACCTGAGTACAGAAAACACTGTTTGAAAGCCTTAGGCTGTGAACAAATTAATAAATTCATTCATTCATGAAGAAACATCTCTGCATGTACACAATATGACTATTTCCTTAGAGTACAAATACTCAATTTCAATATATGGAAGTGTGGTTTGCATACTCAGGGTCAAGTAAAAAAATAAAACACAGACCACATTTATGCAATTTCTATTTTAAAACAAAAGTTCAGGTCATTTTGAGCAACATGTTTAATTTTCCACTGCAGGATGCGTCTGTCTAGCTTACTCTATGTTTGTGTGTGGTTTTATCTCCTCACAAGCACATGCCTGATTAGTCAAAGTCATTAACCCAGTTTCCATAGCGACAACTACTATTTCCCAATATAATGACACCATTGGGGGGGGAAAAAAAAAGAACTGACATTTTGGGTTGGCTACACTTCTGTTAAAAAACATAAAGGAACAAATTAAACTGCCTAAATGTAGGAAAATGTCACCATTTAAAATTTTATCACCATTTTATTGCCATCTTCCAACAAAGAGCTTTTTACAACAGCAATTGACACAACTGAAAAACTTTGTTTTTAGCAACATGTCACACTGAAAAAACAAATCAGATGATCCAACGAGTTAATTTCTCACAACTAATCAAATTCAGTTGATCAAAGTAGATGTATTAAGTTTAAGTTATCATGTTAGTTTGACAAATTTGATTCCAAGAATCATCTCAATATTTTCTTTTAAAGTTGGAGCTCCATTCTCTTTTTTCAGTGCATAAAGAAACACATCCCTCAAAAACGGGTCATCTGCCGTTTCATTACCCAGGTGGACACTTAGCCTCCCCGATCTCCTGTGTGAATTTTTTCCAGAGACTTCCTCCTGTTGAGAAAGAAAAACGGCATCAGTAAAAATGTTATGTTTATTGTGATTTATATTTTTCACTGTCAATCTCAAAGCCAGACCACAAACACTTATAAATTATGGGATTTAAATTCACTAAAAAAATCATAATGAGACCGTCAAGTTATTTTTTTTTATTTTTTTGAAATACAACTTTCAATTTAAGCACATTTTTCAACATCCAAATAATCGAACGTTAAGAATGAACAATGCTGCAGGATCAGCAATCCTATTCTTTTCAGCACAATTTTCCCTTGATCATTAAAGTCATACTCTTGTAAATGGTAACACGTTAGACATATTAGTTATTAATAAAATTGTCGATGCCCCTTTTTCCAAGTAGGTGAAATAAGAGAATATAGAGTCTTACACAGAACTGGTCCTAATAAAAGTGAGGTCTTGCATCATTGAGATATTCAAATTAGTATTTGTCTAAACTTTTCCAGACAACGGTTTGCCATGAAAAACCTTACAAGAGTCTGATTCCCTGGACAGAAAAAAGCCCCCAGAATACTGAAACCTTTATAGGTGACAGTTTTTCTAATATTGGTTTAAAAGTAATAGTTGAGTTATGTGACTTCCCCATTCACACCAAAAAGATATCTGGACTTAGAGGTGCACACAGAGGACACTGTGTTCTTCCAGTAAAACTAGGGAAGTATTTCCAGTCAATCGTGTTTCTTTTAATCTGAGAAAATGTCGAGCAGAAACAGACTTAACAAGCAGAGAACGGAAAAGAATCAGCGTTGGATGCCAGATTCTCCACTGGACAAATATGCTTACAGATAATAAAAAACATCTGAATTTTCTTCAAGAACCAATTCCAGTAAATGGATGTTTTATCTCTAACTCCTAAAATAATGTAACTATTGAACCCATGACGTTTATAGATCCTTTCAAATATTATTTATCCTTCACTGATCCACAAAAGACATCTTGTTTTCATTTAATAATTTACATAACTCAAACAAACGTTTTAAGCCAGTTTACAGGAAGAAGATGCCATTGAAATAGTTGAACTGGTGGACACGCTATGTTCCAGTTTACACAAACACTCACAATTTACTCTGAAACCTTTATTAATTTATAGCTTGTCAAAAATGGCTGACATCCAGGAAGCTGAACAATACAGCTTAGGTCACAAGTTTGGACAAACCTACCTCACAATAAAAGGATTAGGGTGTGTACGCTTTTGTCTGGCTCTCTCGGTTAAACAACTTTTTAGAAGGAATATCCCGCAGAATCATTGCTGTTTATGGTGTTCCCTTATGGATTAGATTAACTTTGATGTCAACAAATGGCTACGGTCAATTAAATCCCACTTTGAGTTTACTGGCTGTTTTAGTGACAGCCAAAAGAATGACGTCACAGACATAAAACCCAAACTCTGCTGGCGAAACACCAGAAGGGGAAACCACTTTTCAAAAGTATCTGCAGGATAGTCATGTGAAGCAATTTGTCAACATCATGCAGTGACTACTTTTCCACTCAGGGATTAAAATAACTTTTTATTAAAACTTAGCGTGATTCAGAAAAACAAAAAAAAAATAATGATTCTTTTGAGGTCTAAATGCTGGAGTTTGATCAAATGCTCTTGTTAAACACTAAGTGTTAAAAATACATTTTATTTGGGTTAGATCTTTGTGATGTCATTCCTCAGTATTGTAAGCATTACTCAGTAGTGGCTCTAAACTGCTCTCACTTCCTCTGTCTGATGTTCACATCTGCTTTCAGCTTGCAGATGTTAACATTTCTTTGTTCCCATTGCTCCCTGTTTGTACAATTAACTCATGGTTTCCTTTTATCCCTGCAAGATTCGAGTCGTTGTCGTCGTCTTTGCATCAAAAGTTGAGAGTTTCCTATCCTGCAGCTACTTTAGTTTTGGTCACTTTGTAATTCTAATGAAATGTATCAATTTTCTACTGTTTCTCACATTGAATCAGCCCCAACAGTTCTGACCTGCATTTCTCAACTTTTATAGTTTTGCTGAGTTTGAGAGCCTGAGATTCTTTCTTGTAGCAGATAATCAGGAGCCTCTGTGAATACAGTCGCCAGATTCTAACAGGTATATTTTCAGTACTTTAAATGATTTCCCATCACTCCAACAAACCGTGCCAAACTATTTTTATTTTATGATGATGGACTGAACAGTGACCTGTGAGGTTTCACAATGTAAGTTTCCAAAGAAGGTTTAAGCTTCTCTGGAAACTTACATCTCACAGGTCACTTACCTATTACTTAGTTTTCAGGATTCTGTTTGTTCACTCATATATCCTGACGAACCTCTGAGTCATTCACAGAACATCTGTTATACTGAGATTAAAGAACATGCGGAGGGACTCTGTTGACTTCTAAGGTATATTGTTGTAATGCGTTTTTATTAAGAAAGCAAAATATACAGCATGATTTTTGTTTTTTGCATATCATTTAAAAAACTATTCTCTTGCACTTCAAAAACATGTAAAATTGTGTTGGTTTGTGTAAATAAAAAGATAAGGGTCTGTAATTATACTGTGAAAAATATGCAAAAGCTTTAAAGGTATAGATATCTTTGCAAGGCACTGTACAGCCAAAATCAATAAACTGGAATATACATCCTAATGAGTCTTGCTTGTCAGATTAAAGGTAGCTTTAAAAAAAGAAAAGAAAAACACCACATCAAGCTCACATTTCTGTTTTAAAAATTATTTTTTCTATTAAATGTTGTGTTTTTGTTATCAGTTAGCAAAAAAAATAATTACGATTAAGAGAAAAAAGTTGTCTAAACATAAGTTTTTGTGCAATTAATCTACAAATGTGTTTTGCCTGTGTGTTTTCATTTACCGAAAATAAAACCACTATGAAATGTTGCCACTGTTCATGAAATCTAAGAAAGAAGGTCGTTCCCACAGACAATGAGATACTGTTCTCATTGTCTGGCCTGTTCCCTCACAGTTTTCGAACAACTAATACATTTGTCAAGTGCTTTGCTGACAGGACATGGAACAGAAGAGTCTTATCATGCAGGTGAGAAGGCCCCTTCTCACCGCCTCGAGGTCAGCGTTGTGGTTTGGAGCGAACATAGGGATGCAGTGTCTCAAGAGAATCAGTCACTGTGATCTTTAAATCCACTAGAAAATCCATGCTCAGCATTTTACACAACACACAGACTCCATCTATAGAGAAGGCTCTGACTATTATTCATGTCTTTTCATCTGTTTCCAAAATCAACATCCGGAAAGAAGTGTAAACGTAAAACGTAGGAGACGGCACGTAAACAAGAGTCTGCACGTGTGGAAAATCCGATCCTATTCTTTCCATACGGCTTTCAAGTTGGTGGGGCAGGGAAAGCGAGGGGAAAAACTATCACAGCAGAGGGAACACCCCACCCTAGAGGACTGCAGCCCACACTCACCGCTACTGCCCCAGAAAAGCAGGAGGGATGTTTTGGCGTGCCAGTGTGCAATGAAAAGCACATTGGTGCCGCGGACCACATTCAACCAGAGAGAGACTACGCTTCCGCAAAACATTCCTCTTTCACAAAAACGTGGTTACAGCAAGTTTAGTGTAAGAGGATACAAAACAGCAAGGCTGCTCAGGGGTTAATTTGAGACTGTCCCATGAGTGTTAACATTCACGTCTAGCTTCCCAGTAACCCGACCCACCTCACCTACTTCCCTAACATGTTGTGAGTTTCCCCCCAGGGTCCAACGTGGGTCTTTTTCAGGAATAACTGTTCGTGCTTTCTTTCTCATAAATCTCACAGCAACTTTTGATGCAACAAAATGCCATTCTGGACCATAAAAATATTACCAGTGTACCAAACAGAACCTGAATGCAGATTTCTCCAAAGGTAACGTGATCGATGGCGTCATGCAATCACTGGAAACGGATTCGATTCACAGTTGAGTCAATGTTTAAACCCATGACTTAAGAAATGGAAAATCAGAAACATGCAGCTACCCGCACAAAGAATGTTAACAAAAGAAACAAAAGAGGAACAAAAACCGGTACAGAAACCTGAAACTACAGAGAATCCTAGCATTAATATAAACACAGATAAGTTGACATAATTAACCTTTTATGTGGTCAGCAATCTGCTTTGTGTGCACATTCTTCTTAATCCACCGATCTATGATAAGTGAAGCATATTGCTAATTTTCCTGGTGTAAAGGGCTCAGCATAGAGTCGCTTAAAGCGCAGATGGAAAGCATTAACAAAGATTTGCTTTGCCCACATCTTTATGCAAGACTTTTACTAAAGGGGCAGTATATATGTTTTCCAGCCACATAGAATCATTTCGTAGCATAATCAAATCAATATGTCACCTTCAGTTGTTATAAAATGCTATGTATATCAAATATGACTCAAAAGAAATTCAACTATGTAATTTCGCACTTTGAAATTGGGCATCTGTCTCTTTAAGAAGTCCTGCTCTTTCCAACACTTTTGAGGAAATCATCACATCGCTACTCTATTAACCCTCTAACAACTAATTTTACCAGCATTGCACTGAGAAGTAGATCATATAACGAGCTCAGCAGATACATAGTTCCAGCAGGTGTTTGCTAATTGCTGCTGGCTAGTCTGAAGGAACCGTTGTGTGGTTTCCAAGTTAAGTGGACATTTGAAAACTGCAGCTCAGAGGAGGAGCTGAATGGTTGCTATGGAGATTAAAGGATTTCTCAAACATGCATGAAAGAATCAAAGCAGAACTCCAGATGAGTTTTTGATGATGGAGCAAAACTATGGCACACATAATACTGCCCTACTAAAAATGGGGTTGTGTACCTTTATACTAAAAGTTCTACACAGAGTAGCACATAAAACAAAAGAAGAAATTGCTAAGTATTTAAAGCCTTTTCTTAAAGCAACCTCGTTCCCCACATGAATGTTCAATTAGATTTAAGTTAAAGTCTTTCACAAAGCACGTTGGAGGAGGTTTTCTTGTAAAATCAGCTTTAACTTTACCTTATGTGTTGACTAGTTACCCAGTTTCAACCACACCATGATGCTGTCACCACCATGCTTCACAGTTTGCATTAATATTTAAAAAGAAATTTCAGATAGACACTTCCTTTGTATTAACTGCTTGGCTAGTAGTTTAGTATGTGCTCTCACCTGAGATTTTATATAAACAAGTGTGTTTGCATCCAACTCAGGGTCAATCAGCTGAATCTACCACAGGTGGGTCTAGTGAATTTGTGGAAACATTTGAAGGATGATCATAAACATGAAGCACCTGATCTTAATCTGGAATATTTAGGCAAAGGATCTGAATAGTTATATGCAAGTAATTCATCACTTTATTTGATAAATTTCCTCCTGTCATTATGGTGTACAGTGGACAGAATTTTGAGAAATTAAGTCATGTTGGAATCAAGTTTAGGTTAGAAATACTCGATTGGAATAAGGTTATTGTTGGGCTCAAAGTAAAGAGAGAAAATATATATTCCTGGTTGGAAATCCCCAAACTATTCCTTTATGTAGCTGCTTCTGCCTTTGAAAACTCTACCATAGGACAAATGACAATAATTAGTGCCAAACATTTTTTTCTGTTTAAGTTCCTCACTGATTCTGCTGAAATGCAATTATCTGGACTGTAGGTCATTTCTGGGTACTGACATGAATCATTATTTCCAAATGCATCCATTTCTGGAAATGTCAAAATGTCACTTTATGTTTAGGATGTTTTGCTAAATTCTCCTGTACCAGACTGTGGGAGTGTTCAAATGGTCTGAAACATTTGGACAAGAGAGAGGAAGTCAAAGACAAACGGTTAGTGATAGAAGAAAGTGTAATGACTTGAAAACAAACATGAAGAGGCACTTATTTAAATTAGCTTACACAACAATGAAAAAAATTGAGAATTGGCAGTTTTGTCAATGCATCTGATCATATGAGATTTAAAAATACCAAAGCATGTCAGCTTAGCAAAGTATATTTTCCTAAACTTTGATTTTTAGGTAGCTATCGCATGTGATTCAAGGGTTTCTGAGCTGACTGACTTGAGTGGATCATTTGTACAGTTTGAAAGTGGGTCATGCTGCATGGTGACCCTAATGTATCTCTTTTTCCTCACAGTCGGAAGCCTTGTCTGTTTATTTTGGATGTTTTTCTCGTTCATGTGTGGATTTTGTCCCGTCGCTTTGGCCTTCTTCCACATGGCAACGAGAGGAATGTAACTGTCAACACTGAATTTGCTTTTTCTCTTTCTTGTCACTGTGTTCATGTTGTACTCTTCCTGTTGCCGAGTAAATCCATCTATCAACTCCTCAAACATGAATAAAAAATTACAAGAAATCAAAGAGAATATGAATATAATGGATGGAAGTGGGCCACCAGATCAGGGGTGGACAATATGAACTTTTATAGCAATATTTTGTGGTACTGTTGTGATAACAATAAAAAATATTTTTATGTAACTGTATGGCTATTAATGCATGGTACAGCATGCTTATCATCATTAATGACCCCTACATATTTTAAAAATATATATTTATTTATGCATAGTGGATTTATATCTAGTATACTTCAGATATAGTGCTTTTAGAATTTCATTTTCCTCAGTAAACAAAATAAATAAACAGAAATGCTTTTTTTTTATCTGAGAAAAGAGTCTGGATATTCTACCCAGCTACTCTCTTTTGGTTTAATCAACAATGCAACATTCCTAAACGATGATACTCCAGCTCTAAAATGGCATCTAGTACAATGCCATTTTCCTGGAACTGTTGTTTGGTTTTCTTTTATTAATAATATTTTGATTGTTTGAATCTCTGTCAGTAATGAGTTTACAAGAGAGACAGAGAAATCCCCATAGCCTTGCTGCAGTGATGCTAACTGGCATATCAGTGAACACAGTGTAGCTCACCTTCTACGCTGTGAGAGCGAGGAGAAGTTACTCTGGTATGGGGAGGTAGAGCAGCTGGTGACTCATAGTCACCTGTTGTAAAGTGTGCTAAAAGGTACAGGGACAAGTCAAATATATGCATATCTTGTTAAATATTTCCTTTCCCTGATTAAGTGTTAGTGAAAAGGAGGCTAACAGTAGCCTGTAGCTAAGCTAGCTAAGCCAATGGGTTAGGAATAACACTACAGTCTACTCACTTCTCTTGGAGGAAAACTGGGTTATAAACTGATACCCTTCATTTTGTTTTTTTTTCATTATCTTTTTTCTCTTGACTTTCTTGAAAATGTGATATTACTATTTTTCTAGCCACCAGGGTTATTATATCTTCTACTGAACACTGCTGCCAACTCCTCAGCAAGGAAAGTCGCTTATTGGCTGTCCTAAAAATCACTAGATGACATCATTACCTAATTTGCATATTTGGTCATGAGCGATCTGGACACTACATGACAGGGATAACTACTTTGACAAGGTAAAAGTGTTTAAAAATCCTGATTTAGAACTACAAATACACTTTATGAAAGTATTTATGAATTTATTAGACATTAAATAAATTCATAGATGTATTTAATGTATTATATTATGGTATCATTAATTAATTATGATATCACATGATATCATCATGTGCCTCAGATATGATATGTGCACTTTTAATTGGTTTAGGTGAGAATAATTAGAGTGGGTAATATTTACATCATACCAGAAATTGCATTTTCATTGCCTATCATAGGGAATTTTAAAAGGTATTTTATTTAGGTTCTATAGTTAAGATATATTTCTTACTTTTCCTTATTGTCAAAATTAGGAATGCATATCTATTTTTTTAGATATGACTTACAAACACACAGGGCATATCAGGGAGTCTATACTGTCATGATAAAAAGTCATGACTGTATAGAAACAAAACATTGCCTCATAATGAGGTTTTGGGATGAAATAACGAAGTGTTCACAAGTGACACATCTGTATGAAAGCATTGCAGAGTACTACTTACACTGTTCCAGAAAACTAAACGGGTTCATTAACTTGCTCATTATGTTCTGATGGTCAACAGTATTGAAAGTCACAATGACATCCAGCACCTTGAATACAGTACCAGAATCTACGGTCATCCTTAAATCATTTAGCAGTTCTGGTTTTCAGTTCCTGAGATGGGTTTAAGCTAAGGCTTTTCTGAGCCACTTGAAACATAACACATTTATTTAAAAACTGTTTAACTGGAACAGGTTGCCAAGAACAGGAAGATTACCAATGAAGCTTTAACAGTTGCAACACTCTAACAAATGCCATTTGCATTGCACCTGCCCTGCACTGAATAGAGGTGTCAAACTCATTTTCGTTTTGAGCCAAATCAAGCTCATGAATGCTCTTAAAGGGGCGGTTGTGCCAGAATGTATTTATAAAACCTTTTCACAAACTGTTAAAATATCAATGAATTCTTAAAATTAAATATTGTTATTGAACACATGTTCAGTTCCTCCAGAATTTCGTGATTCTTTTTGTTAGTTTTTGCAATAAAAATAACAAGGAATTTGTTGTACTAATTTGAAAATATTTGGGATATTTGCAGTTATGTATGACGGTAAATGTGACTTTTTTTACATGCTGCTATAATCTGACATCAGTCAAGGTTGAGGGAGGTGTTTAGTACAAGTTAGAACCTTTTTGGTAATTTTTGAAAGAATTTGCAATAAACTCGCAATTATTACTGCAAAATACTGCGGGGATTTGTTGATGTGCGAATTTCCACAATAATTCACAAAAAAACTGGAGGGACTGATTGATATGATTTGATAGTAAACATATAAAAATTGCATTGATTTGGTTTAACACATAATATTTAAGCACACTTAAAGTTTAGTCTGGAATCTACGAAGGGCCAGATTTTATCCTACGACCTTGAGTTTGACACATGTGCCCTAGAAAATATATCCTCAAAAAAAAAAAAAAAAAAAAAAAACTTCATAATCAACAGTGTAAAAAGTCAGAAAACTGGGTGTCTTTGTGAAACTTACCTGTGCTCTTAGAGCCACTTTTATGTGAAATCGCCACAGTCACAATGACGATCAGTAAGCACAGCAGTGCAACCTGAACAAAGACAACAAGTTGCTGTTTAAGTCACCAGAGTACATGATTCATTAAGCAGCACACAGATACAACTTTACAGGCTTCAAAATCAAAAGCCTGAAACGGTGACTGGCTCTCTTACTGTTAACTATTTTTGGCAAACTTAACAGCTACAGTTTTGAAAGTTTCTCCATAACACCTCCAAGGATATTTCTTGTTATTGGGGCCAAAAAGCTACATTTTTACCAACCAATTCTTGTTTTTAAAAATAACTGGAATTGTACATTAACATTTCCTAATCTGTTCATCCTAGAAATAAAAAAAAAAAAATGTTTCAAATAAATAACTAAAAAACACAAAACTAAGTTGACATCCGGTCCTGTGATTCATACATTGTTCAACTTTATGATCTGAGGCTTGCCAGCTGTCTCCATATTTAATCTTGATCTGTTAAAAATGAGTGGACCAAGTGCTGCTGAGTTTTTATCTGCTGAGGGACAGCAGCTCTGGAGAGTGAGGGGTTTGTAATTAAATGGGTGTTTCAAAGAAAACACTCTGTTTATGGAGAGATGGGGGCGTACTGCCGTGTCTCACTGGCAGCAACGCCTAAAACAGACCCTCAGTGGTTCTTGTGGTTGTTTACTTGCCCTGCAGTCTGAGACCGCTTGGCATCTTCTCTGTAGCCAGAATTAAATATTGTTTGTGAGAAGTTATATTTTGCTTTTTAACTTTGACCATCGTGCTATCACTTTGCTGGAGGTGATATTTTAAATCACAACACACGGTGCAGTTTGCAGGAGCAACATTAAGTTATTCAAATTAAACATAGTTCAAGATAGAAATACATTGTCATGAAATAGGTGAGGTTATTATAGCCAATACTTTGATTACTAAGATGACCACCACATATTTACCACTTCTGCAGGAAAAAAACGCTAGTCTGTGATAATTTATTTTCTTTTACAAGTTAAGCAAAAAAAAAAAAAAAACATATTTCAAACTCATACTTCTTCACAGTTAGCACAGTTAGTGTACTGCAAGGCTGTCAAAAAGCAGGATTGGTGGAATTATCAACCACAAGAAATCCTTTTAGTGTGATTCACACTTACAAATGTGGCATTCCTAGACAGTTATGATAATATGTTATGTGTATTTGGTGTCTGGTCGTTTTTCTTTTGTTTTTTTAGGGAGAGGTGAGCAGACAGGATACCTTGATTTGCTTTCGTGGGAGCGTAAAATGTAAGCAGTGTGTTTGTGGGAAGTAAAAGTACAGTTTGTCCCATTCACACCTACAAGTCTGACTCTAAGTGGTACTTTTTTGCTTCAGTTCATTAAATTTTTTCAGAATAAGCTGTTATTATAAAACGAACCCTAGATTGCCAGGTTAGAGTGATGTCTGAAGTTCACTTGAAAGTGAACGTTACAGAATGAAACACCTAGACTAAAGTCCATTGTTTGCCGGTGCTGAACAAATTTTCCTCAAGTTGGGGCAATGGCTGGAAGGAAAATTCCAGTTGCTCCTTTTCAAAGAGTAAAATTGTTATTGGTCCAAATACATGCATTGTCATGGAGCATTACACTGTTTAGACTCTGGTTACAGTACTAAGCAGACATCTGGAGTTTCTGTGGTTTATAGCTTAAGTTAGAAGGAAAATAACTCAGTCAGAAGGAAGTAACTTAATGGAACAAATTAGTTCCATTGATAATTTACGCCTGAGGTGGATTTTGGAATAAAAAAAATATATTTACTTACGTATCTGTATGTTTTAACTGCATAAAAATAACATTAAAAAAAACAACTTCACTTAAAGTTTTCAGTCATTGGCTTTTGCGCTTTAAAAATAAAAGCTATTGCAGTTATTTGCCTCCACTTGGACTGGGCGTGGTTAGTCTATTTGCTTATTAATAAAGGAGGCTATTTGGAGAAACCTTTGACTGTGGCAGTAAAAGGCTCTTTAAGGGTGATACAAAATAACAAGGGTGGACTCTAATCCAGGTTAAAAAACGACCCAGGAAGTGTGGCACATAGTTGGGTCTGTAAGCAGCATTTATAGTGTCAGCATAAACACACACACAACGTATGCAGTATGTGTCTGACTGAATAACAGTATGGCATTTATGCACACTGGGATCTAAAACTTTAGTCTAACATGCAGTTTAATGTAATAGTTGCATGATTTGCTGATAAATCAGTTCTTTAAAGTGTGATTTTATGATTCTGAGTTACAAAAGAAAAAAACAGTGCACCAGGTTGCTGGCAGATGTAGTTTTGAACCCAATAGAGAATTAAGACATCATGTGTTCATGCTCATTTCTACATAAGCAACACAATGCCTTGGGAAAGTCATGCTATGTTGTCACTTAAATTTGGGGTGATTTAAATAAACCAAAACAAAACAGTGAATAACTTGGAGGTGGAAGAGAAAGAGACATAATTTTCAATTTATTTTCCCAAATAAATATCTGAAAAGTGTGGTGTGCATTTGAACTTAGTCGAAAGCTGTTTGGAGGACCAACATTTTCTGTATTTACAGACAAGTATTGTAACGTGTCTCTACCAGTTTCACGCATATATAGATTGCAATGTGTCCTTCCTACTTTCAAAATATCTCAAGACAAATCAGACTGGATGAACAAAATCTGTAAGCATTCATTTTCAAGACTTTTTATAGGTTTTCAATTGGATAAAGGTTTGGACTTTGACTGGGCCATTCCAGCATAGGAGCAAACTTTGATCTAAACCATCGCATCACAACATTTTGGTTCTCCAAAATCCATCCTGCTTCCCTTGTCCTGCTATAGAGAAGCATGCCCAGAGCATGACATGACTACCACCATGTTCCACTGTGGGCAGGGTGTGTTCACAATAGACATGCTCTGCAGGTAAGCCGAAATGTTTGATTTTAGTGTTACCAACACATTTCTAGATCGACTGTAAACTGAAGACTCCAATATTCAAAGCCTGACATATAGTTTTATAATCCCACTCTGCTTTAAACTTCTCTACAACTTGATCCCGGAGTTGTATGCTGTGTTCGTTGGCCTTCATGAAACTGCTTGTTCCCTGTTGTTGCCTAACAAACATCTGAAGCCTTCACAGAACAGCTGTATTTATACTGACTTTACGTCACTCACAGGGGGATTCCATTTTTCTAATTATATGGGCTTCTGTAGTTCATTGGGTGCATTGGTTTTTATTTATGGGTATCAGGGAAAAGAGGACTGAAAGCTGAAGTAAAACACATCGCAGCCATTAGATTTTAATTTGTGAGAAAGTGTTGAAAATGTTTTGTTGTGCTGCTACTTCATAATGACCTTTTTTTGGTTATCAAAAATGGGCACATAAATGATGCATATTTATATGTGCATCAAAATTTACACACAAATGTGTGAATTTTTACACATTTATGTGTGAAAATTCAAAGAATGTGAATGCCCTGAAATTAGCCTGTGATTCAAAGAACATGTTATTTAATGACGCATTGACAGCCTGAAAAAGGGTAGATTTTGGCTTTGAAGAATTTAATGAACTGGAAAACAGCATTTTTCAAGGAAAATTGGCAAAGGAAAAAAACATGAATAAACTACAAATAGAACAATTTAATTTCTCCGTCAATGCCCAGAGTGATTCAAGTGTTTTGTTCATGAATTTCCACGTGACCTAAACTGTGCTGTGAGGTCTGATTCTGCTTTCCACAGAAACAACTGCAGGACACCTGTGGGGCCTTTCCTGGCCTCTGTCTCTTTGCACTGGAGTGAAAACAGTTAGTTTCCACATTACTCTCTGGCACCACTGACAGTCTCAGCTGTGACAGCTGTGGATTAATGACGGGCAAAGCAAACAAGGTGAAAATGCTGACATGAAAGCTGTGGCTTTTGCACTTCATCGAGATTTCGCTGCAGTGCAAAAGAAATTTGTAGCAACTTAGCAATGATTAACCAATAAAACAATTGCAAAAAAAAAAAAAAAAATTAAATTTTACACTGGGCTTGCAGGTTTTTTTTTTTTTTTTCAAAGAAGGCATTAAAACTTTAAAATCTAATTATTGCAGATTCTTGAAAACAGGATATTGAGTTTCTTCATTTTAGTTGTAAGTAATTGACGTGATGCCAGATTAAAGTTTTTTAGTTTTTTTTATAGCTCTGTCACATACCCCAATAATGATTTTACAGCGGTGATTCCGCTTCTTCCTCCGCTCTGCGCTGATCCTCTGGCTCTCCAGCTCGGACGTCCCGAATAAAGACGCCGCCTGCTCCGGTTGCCGCTCCTCTCCTTTGGTCCCCTCCATGCCGCTGAGCGCACTAACGTCCTGACAGTTTTCAAGGAGGGAATGAGATGCAGTTAAGAGTTTTTCACGGCAATGAAGCAGGATATGAACCCTCTGCTCCGGCATGCACAAAGGACCGCCTTTTTTGACGTATTCTTGAGTGGTAAAACAGCAGGCGAGCACATGTTACAGGGTGTCACACAGACGTGATTTGACGTGAGAGACCCGCGCTGCTTTTGCTTTCGTTTGATATAGCAAAACTTTGAGCAAAGGCTGTCAACTTGCACAATTAATGATTTACTTAGAACGTTCACAGCAACATGTAATATTATGCTAAGAAAAATCTTTTGCTTTTTAAATAATTGTCATAAGTATCAGAATGGTGTTTTTGAAAATTAAATCTTTGATTAGGCAAAACATTACCTGAAGATGGCAAATAAAAGTCGTTGGAAAGAAAATGAGGCAAATGCTGCAGATGTCGCCATCCGGTGGTCAACGTAGATATTTACAGACACGTGCTTAGAGCTTCAGTCTATAGCTGATTGTTTTTGTTGTCTGTAACTAAGGTATTACTTGAAATAATTTTGGTGACATTTAAGATTTATTCCCCTTATTTTTTCCTAATCAGAATCACCACTAAATTTTAAAAAATTTTTTTTTTTTTTTTTTTTTTTTTTATTAATGGAATTTCTCGATACTGTTAAAACTGTTACTAAATGTCCATATGTCCAAACTTGTTGGAAAAGCCCACAGGTTGTGGGGTGTAACAGTTTATTTATAGTGACCGCAAGATGGTGCTGTTGTAACATTTGTAATACCCGGCACCAATAATGTTTACATCAATAAAAGCTGTTCTATATTATAATACTGATCAAACTTCAACATACTTCACTTCTGCGAGATCATCTGTGTTCCGTGAAGTGTTAATAGAAGCCACATGTTACTGGCACCTCTGACCTCTGACCTTTGTCTTGTTTTTACTCTTTTAAAGCTTAGAGTTCAGTCCTGCTGCTCTTTGTTTATCTTTGTGTCTGATAGAAAGAAAAACAGCGTCTGTCTACGTTTAAGTTTGAAGAGGGACTTTGTGTTGACATTCTAGGTTTGGATACATATGAATGTCAGAGTGTATGTTGTTACAGTATATGTAACTATATCACAAAGTTATGAGCAACATAAAACCGCAGGGTGGTGTCAACAGATGCTGAGGCATGGGTTGTGCAGAGATAACCACATTTTTCGAGAGTCATCGGCTACAGGCCTCCAAATGTCATGTGACCTTCAGATGAGCTCAAGAACAGTACATGGAGATCTTCATGAGGTGAGTTTCCATGGTTGAGCAACTGCATCAGAGTCGTAAATCCGCAAATTAACTGGAAAGTGCTGGATGTAATCATGTCACTAGACTCCAGAGGACTGGAAACGTGCTCTCTGGAGAGACAAATCACACATTTCTGTTTGGCAATTCGATAAATTGGTAGAAGGACCGAAGATTTCCATAAACACCACAGACTATAAATGAGATGTCACTCAAATTCATATGTGTGTGTGCGCGCGCGCATGTGTGTGTGAAGGCAGACAAGGAAATGCTTCTGGCAATGGTGTCTGTGTATAATGCTTCTGGAAAAAGACAAATTCTTGTTAACAGCGACATCCGTTGAGTTGATTTTGGGATAAACTTTATTTACTATAAATCTGAACGTGTTTCTGCAGCAACCCCTGCATGGAGGGAGCAGCAGGAATCATAATTTAGAGAGCATGAAGTGACAGTGTGGGACATATTGTATCTGACAGCAGTGCACCCACAGTTCTCCTCATATAAATGAGCTTGTGGAAGCGTGCTTGCAGCTGCAAAGCTTCTCAGCTCACTATAAAAGTCTGCCACTGAAACCAACTCTGCTTAAGAGTTCAGTCCAACCTTATGTTCCTCTTCTTATTTTTGGCTTCAGTATCTAACTTAATTTAGCTCTACTTTCTCAGCTTTGCAGATATGCTTAAAATGATTTTAAAAAAATGATACATGTTGCTTTTAGCATTTAAAGCTGCACATTTTCTCTGCAACTGCAAGAAAATACCTGAATGTACATTTTGTTTTATACAAGAAACAGAGTGGTTTTATTAGCAATCTTTTGAGAACTGAGAGATTTTTATTTATTTATTTATTTTTTTGAGAAAACATGTTGATTTTCATGCACCACGAGTGAAAACAAGACAACTGTTAAATCGGTAACAAGTGTGACTCATTCACAGACATTCATTAGAAGGACAAGTGCTCAAGAAGGACGAGCATTCACGAAGAAAGACAGATTCTGAGGGAAAGGACCAGTACCAAAGGAGTTTTGTCTGGTCACAGTGGCAGCTGGTGGTCATGCTGATGCTAACCACTCATTTCCTCCCATTCAACTGAGGCACGTTTTCTGCTGCCGTAAAAAGTAACTCCTAACAGCGACAGCAGGAGTCGAGTTTATTTGAAAAAAACTGGATTAATTGTATTTTTTCAGCATTTCAGCACAGAATTTTTTTTTTTGCTAGATCTTTGTTGTATTCAATACCACTTAATGGAATAGTGTATGCTCTCATTGTCGGTGCATGTTTAATGCCAATAAAACTGTGCACACATGAGTCAAGTGCAGATTAAACTGTCACTGTCTATGCTACCTAGTAACGCTCACCTCAGAAAACATGAAGAAACCACAAATAACAGACGAAACTGCAAATTTCTGAAGAACATCCGGGAAACCTTAATAAATAGAGGAACTGCAGCTTCCTTCTGAAACTGTTAGAGGACTTTCAAATGTATTAGATCCCTGCAGCTTAAATAAGGTGCACATTTTAGGCAGAGAGATGCATGTCTCTGCTTACAGAATTGTTCTTCATGCTTTGCTTTTTCTTTGCCATGATATAAAATTAGTAAATAAAAAAATATAGTTTCTAAACAGAATAATTTAAACCAACCTGACCCTTTGTGGAAAGCAGTTGCCCCTTAACCCAACAACAGGTTGTGTCAACTTTGAGAGCCCTGGCGTTTAACTGGCAATGAGTCTGAAATTGGGACTCACTGCTGTTTTATTTCAGACGTTATGAAGTTTTAAGTTAAAATCCAGAGCTTGATTGAGCTATATCAAAACCTTCATTTAGTATATTATTCATATACTTGGTTTGAGGTGGAGTAGCTGGTATGTTTTGGATCACCAGTACTTTGGAGAAACATCTTTTTCGTCACTTTTGAGCCTTTGTTGAAGGTATGCAATGTCAAACTCACAATTAATTATTATTGAAAGAAATTTGTCTTATTTATATCCACTGCATGGTTGTGCGCACACAGATTTGCAAGTAGCAAATTAGAGGTTACGGCTTTGGTGTATTCTCGTTATGGATTTCAGCAGAACAACAGCAACTCTATACCATAGGTACTAATGCATGTGTGGTTGTATTGAAGAAAAAGACTTGGAAGGGACTTGAGGATTAAGGAAAAAGTATATAAACTTTGGTAAACTGGCAGGCCTTAACTCTCAGTTAAAAGACTCTCTGGTCTTCTTTTGGTGTCTCTTGATGAATTACAGGTAAGTGCACAGTACAGCTGAGACCGATGGTGTAATAGGATGAATTAAGCCTGCACTCAATGAGTTATCATGCCCATCGTATGATCTATTGCCAGCAGGGGCGTTGTATAAAAGGAGCTTCTGTCACCTATCTCCTTATGAGGAGTTTGCATTTCCTGATGTCTTTTTTCACTAGCTGCTTACTCAGCTGCATCCACAGCTCTCAGTGAAGAGAACTATAGTGATCAGATGTGCAGAAGCTAGCGTCCTGTAGTGAGAGTTAACTGTTACAAATCAGAGACATGAGACAAGAATAGTTGGCTAAGAAACTCAAAATGTCACATTGAAGCAGCTGTTTTGAAATGTAAAATGTTATTGGATGTTTTCATTTGTCATCAGAAAAAGTTGGAATGAGAAATTATTAAGTCATTTCTTCTTAAAGATTGCAGAAAGATCACTTAGGATTTAAACGTATTTAAACTTTTACTGTGAAAAAAATAAAAGACTAACAGTAAAAGTGGTCAGATTCAGGAAACTTCTAACATTCTCGTTACCGTTTGTCTGATAAGATGCAAAAACATTTCCCTAAAATGTTTACATCATCTAGTTGGAAGCAGAAAAACATGATTTGAAACAGCCAAAATGTGATTTTTCTGATTGCACAGTCATTTTTCCGCTCTAAAAACAACCCATTAGCGCGATAACCATTTCGTTTTCAGTAATAAGCAAGTGATGAAATTTCATTGCACTGCATTTAAAAGTGACTGTCACTAACATGACTAATTGCCTACAATAAATTTAGCATTCTAATTGTTGTTCACATTCATTCCTGAAGACCTCCTGGCTTTCAGATTTATGCATGATTTATAAAAGTAACCCCGGTGTTTCTCACGTCATCGATCCACTCTGAGCTAAATCAGTAACTAAAAGCCTGCGTCTGACCTTTTTTACTTTGGTTCTAAAAAGAGACATGCTGTCGGTGTTTATTGTAGAACTATGGAGGGAAAATTGGGGGTCTGCGATAATTAATCATCAAGATGCCAAAACATACTTTTATGAAACTACATCAAATGTGTGCATAGTGATAGTGCAAAGGATGAAATTATGAGAGAGCATGTGTAACTGTATGCTAAAAAAAGCACTTCTTTGGAAAAAAGAGACATTTGTAAAACACAAGTGTAAAATATTCTGTAGTCAATACAAATGGTGTAGATGAATTCAGTCATGTTTTGACCAGTCTATTTGATTCCCCATTTAAAAAGTCAAAGGTTAAAGTATGAAATTTGAAAATCAATACTGGGTCATGCACTATTCTGGGATAAAACTGGTCTAACACATGGAGATGGATTTTTTTTCTTCTCTAATGTGGAAAATAAACCAAGTCTGTATTTCCATGTACCAATATTTTCTGTTTTTGTACACAAAAAGCGCAGGTTTTCTTTAATACATCATGTCTGGTGACAATGTAACTGGTGGGAGGCTAACAACACTGAATTAGATCTAACTTAAGAAATATTGGAAAAAATATCCTGAACCTTCACATACTGTAAGTTCATGCTTGACTCAGATGCAAACTCTGTGGGAAAATCTATCCAGAACAAA